GAGAGAGAGAATTTTTAATATTTATTTTTTAGTTCTCGGCGCACACAACATCTTTGTTGGTATGTGGTGCTGAGGATCGAACCTGGGCCACACGCATGCTAGGCGACCGCGCTACCACTTGAGCCACACCCCCAGCCCCAAGAAATTATAATCCTTCTATACCACTGCCAGGAATACAAAATGGTGCCCCAACTATGAAAAACAATTTGGTTGGGGCTGGGGATGTGGCTCAGCAGTAGCGCGCTCGCCTGGCATGCGTGCGGCCCAGGTTCGATCCTCAGCACCACATACAAACAAAGATGTTGTGTCCGCCAAAAACTAAAAATAATAATAATAATAATAATAAATATTGAAAAACAGTTTGGTCTTGCCCCAAGGTAAAATGTGATTACCATATGAATGGACTAGGAATGTAGCTCCCCAGGTTTAATTTCCAATATTGTGCTGGAAAAAAAAAAAGAGAGAGAGAGAAGAGGAGGGGCTGGGGTTGTGGCTCAGTGGTAGAGTACTTGCCTCACATGTGTGAGACCCTGGGTTCGTTCCTCAGCACCACATAGAAATAAATGAGTGAAGTATTGTGTTCAACTAAAAATAAATAAATATTTTTTAAAAAAGAGAGAGAAGAGGAAAAAAGGAATGACAAAATTACCATGTGATTCAATAATTCCACTCTTGAGTATATTGACACAAAGTAATCAAAAATAGATGTTCAAGCCAGGTACAGTGGCTCATGCCCATAATCCCAGTGCCTAGGAGGCTGATGCAGGAGGATCACAAATTCAGAGCCAGCCTCAGCAACTTAGAGAGGCCCTAAACAATTTAGCCAGATCTTGTCTCAAAATAAAACATAAAAAAAGGGGCTGGGGATGTGTCTCAATGGTTAAGCACCCCTGAGTTCAACCTACAGTACCAAAAAAAGAAAAAAAAGAAAGAAAGAAAATAGATGTTCAAAAAATATGAACATTTATAGTAGTAGCATTATTCACAATAGCCAAAAGGTGTAAACAACCCCAAATGTGCATCAGTAGATATCAGTAGATGAACAGATAAACAAAATGGCACAGTCACATCATAGAATATTGTTCAGCCATAAAAACAAATGAAGTCCCAATATATGCTACAACATGAATGAACCTCTAAAACATTACATTAAGTAAAAGAAGCCAGACACAAAAGACCACCTATTATATGGTTCCATTTAGATGAAATGTTCAGAATAGGTAAAGCCATAGAGATAGAAAGTGATGGGGAGCAAGGGAAAGTAAGTGCATTATGAATATCACTTTCCTTTTGAGATATCATGAAACTAAACATAGGGCTAGGGATATAGCTCAGTTGGAAGAGTGCCTGCCTTGAATGCATAAGGCCCTGGGTTCAATTCCCAGCACCATTAAAAGAAAGAAAGAAAGAAACTAAATAGAGTTGATGGTTGCACAATATTCTAAATATGTTAAATGCTTCCAAATTTTTCACTAATTTTGTTTTGTGAACTTTAACTCAATTAAAAAAAAAATACTTGTAGCCAGCCCATCTTGCTCCATTCTGTGTTGTTGTAACTAAATACTTAAGGGCTAGATAATTTGCAAAGCAAAAAGGTTTGTTTTGGCTCAAGTTTCTGTTACCAAACTAAGGCCTCTCTTGTGCTCCTCACAGCCAATCACGCAAACAAGTTTTGTTGGAGAAAGAGTTCATTCATAAGGCAGCCAAGCCTGGAGACAGGAGTTCCAAGTCCCAAATCCTCCTCCCTGCAAATAGGATGTTAGGGGTATGTTATAGTTTGGATTTGGAATGTCCCCCAGAAAGTTCATGTTTTAAAAACATGGGCCCTGGGGCTGGGGTTATAGCTCAGTTAGTACAGTACTTACCTCAAATGTAAAGGCCCTGGGCTCAAGGTTCAATCCCTAGCACCACAAAAAATAAAAAGAAAGAAAGAAAGCATGGGTCACAGATTCAGGGAAGCTGTTTATTTTTCTTCACGGATTTGGGCACCTTGGGGACTCATTTTCTGAATGCAAAAATGGCTACCAGTTACAGAGGGGATTTTGGTTTTATAGGATACAATTAGGGTGGTCCCATCATTGGAACTTGTGGGTGTGCTGTTCAGACAGTCAGGGCTAGTTATGTAGGTTAA